CTAATTCATAAATAAGAGGAGTTCTCTCTTCCAGCTGTAGGCGTATTGTGCAACACTGTGACATCAGAGTCTAACATTTAGCATGTCTCCTGCGTCAGCCCCCATCTTTTACCTTCCTCTGGTGTCCTCCTCCTTGAATGCTCTGCTCTCTTAAAGTAGTACTCTAACCTCACGATGCCGTAAGACAATGCTCCGTATTTTTGTAACTCTTGCTTTACTCATTGGCAGATGATTTATCTGCTAAAGGAAAAATAAATACGTTGCAGAGTGGAAATTGAAGTTCAGGATGTCTGACTCCAAGGCCTGCACCCTTAACCTCAATGCTCACTGCCTCTCATAGACTTACTACCTTCTCAACATGTTTGCATTTAAGGGGCACTTCCTCGAGTGCCAGACTCTTAAAGAATGACGCTGGATGGAAGAGAAACAGGCATTAGGAGCAAAACAATCCCTCAGGACTCCGGAACTATAAAAGTTGTGAGTGCGTGAGAGAATTACTCCACTTTCATGTGAGGTTGACTCAGAAGATGCGAAATAGTTCCCTTTGTGAGGGTGCAGGTGTGAATCTACTTGTTTCAAGAATCTGTCCTGGTACTTTTAAAGTAGACAACAAACACATTAATCTACAATGTGCATTGGATTTCCCCAACAGTTTGAGGCTCTGCAGCCTGAATTTTTGCCTTCCCTCCAACCTCTCCAGGACATCACTAACCCCTCTGTCTCTCCCCGCCACACCCCGACCCCAGCATGATTATCTGAGCGTTACAGTTCTCAAAGTGTGGTCTCCAGACCAGCAACACCTAGGAACTTGTTAAAAGGGAAAATTCTTGGGCCCTGCTCCAGACCTGCTGAATCAGGAACTGTAGGGTTGGCGCCAACAATCTATGCTTTAATGAGTCAGTCCTTCAACTGATTCTGATCTACACTCAAGTTCGCACACCACTGTCTCTATGAAAGGAGTCGATAAAATGCAATATGGATCCTTAACACACTATACTAAGAAGTGTGGATCAACCAGAATAAGGCCGGGTCTGGCTCAAGGTACGGATACTGACTACAGACCCTTGGGGTCCTGCATTCGAAGGGTGAGGGTATAGCTGGTTTTTAACAGGAGACACAGCAGGGGGAGTAGGATTGACTTTGGAGTCCTGAGTTCGAATCCTAACTCTGCTATTTGATAGCTGTGTGACTTTAAGGAAGTTATTCAACCTCTCTGATCTGAAATTCCTAATCCATAAAATAAATAGTATCTACGCCATGGAGTTATTGTGATGGTTAAGAGAGAGAATGTAAAGGTAAAATGTACATATAAAACCACTCACATGGTGTTCCATACTAAGTGGGTGATATCTATTTGAAGACAGCTTTGGCCACAGCTGTTAAAGTCTGGTCCTTCCCTTGTTATTTACAACAGGCTAAGCTATCATTATTCCATAGCTAAGACCTCAGATGCTGGAAAGGCTCTTATCTGTGGCCCAGGCCAACCGAAACAAAGGCTCAGACTGCTGTTTTACTTGAGAGAAGTCACTAACCCTTCCAACTCCAACCTGTCTCTTTCTTTGTGAGGGTCTTCAAACAACCCCCGGGCCGCATGATCACTGGCCAGTTCTAGTCATTGACTCCTTGTTTACAACCCCACTCTAGGAGGGCCCTGATCCCCAGGACAAAGACAAGAGGCCACCGGGTGAGCATCTGCATTCCCTCAGGGCAGATTTCTAGCTATGAGGTGGTGGGAGGCTGCATGAAGCTAGCCAGGATGAAGGAACAGGACTTATTACTACCATGACCTCTACCAAAACAGCAGAAACAACAGGTCTCTGGTACTGATGGTCTGCCTCTCTTCCGGAGAGCAAGTTAACCCCTTTATGTAACCTTGGCTTTCATTGCAAACTTCTCCAAGGACTGCTTTCCCAGAACAGTCTCCAAGATGCAGCATGTGCCACTTTGCTCCCTCATTCCTGTTTCTTTTATTCACATGTAATTTTTCTCATTTAAATCTGGTCAGAATAGGTGAATGTGTGATGGCCAGGGCAGTGTGTGCCCAGTGCAGCCTTAACTGGGTCTTACCCCTCCACGGTCTGATTCCCTCAGCGTCCTTGGTTAGCCTCACTCTTGCGGTTAAACTGGTTTATAATTCTGCCTTTTTCTCTTCTTTGTTTCTTCTCAAGATCTGCTGTGCGGTTTCTTCCGCCTAACTCAGTTTGCACTATAGCTAAATTTGATCTCTTTTTCCTCCTCTGTGTCATAGATTACCCTTCAGGTCAGTCTTCCCCCTGATATTGGTGTGCAACACACTTTCTTCATTCATCTCCAGCAAGTGAGAATAAGGGCAGTATGTTTTACTTCAGGCAGCCGGGACAGCCGGGGGTCAGCCACTGCCATCACAGCCTCGCTGAGCATCTCACCAGGGCACTGGAAGAGGGTAGGGAATCAAGATGACCTGTGCCAACCGAGGACTTGGAAGGCAGGGAAACGTTATTATCTTGTGCTAGAAAACCTCCCCATTACCTCTTGAAGGCTAAAGACCAGGCCCTTTTCCTAGTTCTGGAGGTATGTGTATTACTACCCAGGGCAGGGTTGACATGGCATCCTGAGAATTCCAAAGGCAAGATATCGAGCTTCTGTGTTTGTGGGTGTACGGGTGTGTGCACACGTGTGTAGTAGTGGCTGGGGAGTCAGGGGATGATGATAAGAATTCAAAACCAAATTTTTGCTTTACTTCAGTCATAGAGAATGGCTTTCACGGGGCCACACTGCTGACTGGTATCTTAATGTACATCCCCACCTCACAGCTAATAGAGCCAAGCCTACACTGGACTGTGAATAGCCAGCCATCTCCAGAGGATGCCACTGCTACTATCTTCCTCTTGGCCATCCATTTGGCA